GATAGATAGATAGATAGATAGATAGATAGATAGATAGATAGATAGATAGATAGATAGATAGATAGATAGATAGATAGATAGATGAATGATAGGTAAGACTTGTTTGAGCTGTGGCACCGGAAAGGGTCCTGCATGTTTCTTGGACAGCACAGGTGACCAACAAACAAGTATTGGAGCACATAACACCAGACAGGTCACTGGAAGGCAAAATTACAAAACTGCACCTCATTTATTTTGGCCATGTCATGTGTGGGAATTCACTGGAGAAAGCAATTGTGTTGGGAAGAGTAAGTGGTAAAAAGGAAACCAGGACATCAAAGAACACGGTGGCTGGACACCCTCAAAGCTGACACTAGTCAGAGCACAGAACAACTCATTGAAGTAATGCAAGATCGGAAGATGTGGAGAGACCTGGCCCATAGAATCGCCAAGAGTCGGACACAACTAAATGGGTAACATCATCATCACCACCACCATCATCATCATCAAATAAATAATCAGACAGTTTAATTATGCTTGTGTAGATTTCCCCCCCCTCATTTTTTAAATATTGGGATACAGGTAGTCCTCAATCTCTGATCACAATGGGGACAAGAATTTCCACAAGTGCGTTGCACCCAATCTTATCAAAACTAAAGAATTTTGGTTTTTTTGCAAGATCGTCAAAACCATGTGAGTAGTTTCATGCTTTCTCCCCATTGCTGTAGTGACCCTGAAACTCATCCACCCAACGCATATTACTCAAGCTCTAGACAGGAAATCACGTTTGGGAAAGAGTCCAAATATAAAACAGTCCACCAACTCACTTTGCCATCTGCGATAGCGACCTCACCCATTTCCTCTGTCCTCTGGTTCGACCAGGATGACAGGACGTTTGTGCTACCGTACCTGGAAGATTTCCATCTTTATCTGCATCGTCTAAAGTCGCTCCCCATCTGACCACAAACTGGAGGCAGCCCAGCCGGCCGTAGAAAGCAGCGTTGTGTATAGGTTTCCAGTCATTCTTATCAGAAGCGTTGACATCCTGGTTTTTAAGATGGAAGGAAGCCAACATTTCAGAGGAAGTTGTGTGCGGTAGGTGAAGAGGGTAAACACAGGAGCTTAAAAAAAAGGCTTGTGTTTCTTGGATCGTATGGTTTAGCTGTTTCTTCCTCCTCGCCTTGAGGCACAAAGAATCAGGACCATAAGCTAAGTTGCAGTTCAGAAGATTTATTGCTCAAGAACCTAGTCAACTAAAGTTCAGTGCTAAATTGACGCCAGATCAGGGTCAAATTCAAATTTATCAGCAGATAAATTCAAGAGGGGTTGGACTTAGGCTACAGATAGTCCTCAACTTACAACGATTCATTTAGTGACCGTTTGAAGTTACAACGGCACTGAAAAAGTGACTTTTTCACACTCATGACAGTTGCAGCATTCCCGTGGTCACACGATCAAAATTCAGATGCTTGGAAACTGGCTCGTATTTATGACGGTCACAGGGTCCCCCGGAGGTCACGTGATCCCCTTTTGAAACCTTCTGACAAACAAAGTCAACGGGGAAGCCAGATTGAGTTAATAGCTGTGTTACTAACTTAACAACTGCAGTAATTCATTTAACAATTGTGGCAAGAAAGGGCATAAAATGGGGCAAAATTCACTTCACAAATGTCTCGCGTAGCAACAGAAATATGGGGCTCAACTGAGGTCGTAAGTCAAGGACCAACTGTATTTGTGACAATGTAATGACTGTAGGCTAATGACTCGCTTAACTCCGCCCCCCCAGTTCTGTCTGCTCTTCTGTTAAGATATTTAATTTAATAGCTGGAACAGTAAAGTGTCTAACGGGCCAGAACACCCAGTTGTAGTTGATTGGCTGGAGAGTCCAGGTTCCTGCATGAGGCAATCTATGTTATGATTGGTTGCTGGGTATAAAAGGGGAGTTTCCCTTTTTCCCGCCTTTTTCTTCTGTGTGTTCTGTATGCTGTTCTGTGATTTGCCTGACGTGTTACCTCATGATGTAGTGATGTGCTTGACTATCTTACTTGATATAAAAATATATTTATATATAAAACTACAAGTCTCTAACTTCATTTGGACACTGGCTGTGCACTTCCCCGACATCTTCCCCTACATCTAGCAATATTATCTTACTCCTTTCTTGCTTAGCTTCTAAGTGACCATTGGTGACTTTTCTATGGAATCAAATTAGCATCGATTCAAGTTTGAATTCCACAGTAAATAAGGGCTTCAAATTTTGTTCAGGAGATGGCGGCTGTACTGGATCTGGGTGACAACATAACCACAGGAAAACCACAAAGTGAAAAATATCTGCGATGAAAATTAAATTACTGTTAGTCAGTAAAACTATTAACCATTGTGCTTAATATCCATTCCACTTATCTCTCAAATGAGTGACTTCATAGCTTGGGTAATGGTATGTGAGAATAACCTTGATAGATGAGGAGGGGAGGAGATATTGCCTAGGAAACAATTAGATAAAGAGAAGGGCAGCCCACAACTGAATAATGGGCAAAGAAACATAGAAACCAAGTTATCAGGCAGTAAAAGAGACGGTGGTAGATTTGTATCTTCTGGTTTTCAAGATACTATTAAAATAGCCTTACAATAAAGTAAGGATTTTGTCATGTTTCCTGTCTGGTCTACTTTGGAGGCTGACAACAGAACACAAATTACTCTTATGAAGCAAACACGAGAATATGGGAAAAACAGATGGAATTTCTTTCTAGCTTGACCTCCAAATATAAAAAGTAGAGATTGTCTCCACAGGAAGACAATCAAAAGTCAAGATCACAATCAGGCAATCTGCAGGATTCCATTGTGTGCTTGTGACTGCCATCTGGACTTTTTTGACTACCCTTAGAGGCACCCCTGTTGAAGAATTATGAAGACATAATTGTTATGAAAGACTCAGAGCAAAATAATAATAATAATAATAATAATAATAATAATAATAATAATAATAATAATAATAATAATAATAATAATAATAATAAAGTTGGAAGGGATCTTGGAGGTCATCTAGTCCAACCCCCTGCTCAGGCAGGAAACCCTATACCATGTCAGACAAATGGCTGTCCAGTCTCTTCTTAAAAACTTCCAGTGTTGGAGCATTCACAGCTTCTGGAGGCAGGTTGTAAGTGAATTATGCCTATTCCTACCAGGAGTAACACCAAAAAAATGACATTTCTTACCACCCCACTCCGGAGTATGGTTTGTAAAGTGAATGAGTGTCCATGGGTCGCTGCAAGATGTGCTGGAGTACACCCGAAGTCATCTGGAACGCCTAGATTCACAGCATTGAGTTGAAGGGCCTGAGAAAATACATACATATATACATACTACATACATACATATATACACACATATATAGGTGCTTTTTCAAGAGGCAACTGGACTTTCTTGTTTTTCTTTGAAGACATTTCACTTCTCATCCAAGAAGCTTCTTCCGCTCTGATTGCATGGTGGGGAGTGGAAGGATTTATACTCCTTGCAGACAGCTGGTCATTTGCATTCTTTTGAAGGGTCATTGAGGCCACTTGGAGGTTTGTCTGTGTCCTCCGGGTCACCTGAGTACTGCAAATGGGTGTGGAGCCTTCTTAGAACTGATGAATGGACTGTGTTGTGGAGATGCAGAAACATCCTGCAGAAAGCACAGCTCCACACACAGTCCTTTCACTAGTTCTAAGAAGGCTCCACACCCATTTGCACTACTCAGGTGACCTTGAGGACACAGATAAAACTCCAAGTGGCCTCAACGATTTCAGTCTCCATCAGTATAAAACAGAGGTCTTCAAACTTGATCCTTTTATGGCTTGTGGACTTCAAGTCCCAGAATTCCTCAGCCAGCATGCCTGGCTGAGGAATTCTGGGAGTTGAAGTCCACAAGTCATAAAAGGGCCAGGTTTGAAGACCCCTGATATAAAGTATAAGAACTGACAAATTTCACTGAAGCAAAGTTTAAAATTTAAAATCTGGTATGGGATCATCCTTCTAAAACTACAATATCACCAGGTAATATATATTCTTCATATACAGACAAGCTGCAGATTTGGAGATATAACATAATCTTCACATCTTTGACCATTAACGTCCTCCCAAGAACCTGATTTATTTAGTATGGCTCTCTAATCCACTGTTTCTCAAAATTAGTGGCTTTAAGACGTTCCCATAATTCCCCAGATAGAAGGCTGATTGGGGAATTCTGGGAGTTGAAGTCCACGCATGTTACAGCTACTAAGATTGAGAAACGCTGCTCTAGCCACACAAAAAACATTGTAGTTGACAGCTGAGAAATGTACAGTGCCTGTCGTAGAAATTAACTTGGAACAAATATGTCCTTTCGTTCCAAATAAGTCGTGATTTTAATTAAACCAGTTTAATCCTTAAACTGGATTACATGGAGACACTCACCTGCATGCAGGCATCTTGGCCTCTAATTGCAGCCAGATGAGCGGCTGTCCAGCCTCTTACAGTCACTGCAGTCTGATCGGCTCCATGCCAGAGAAGCCAGTGAAGACACTAGCAAATAAGTACACACACTTTAGATTACTATTATGTTGAAGGAAAAATCTTCATCAGGGTCCAGTCCGAGCTGGGAATAAACAACAGGGCAACTGCTTTAGAAAGAAGTTTGTAGTTTATTGGAGAGGAAAGCCAGACAGAAAGACGGCTCTGGGAAAAAACTGACCACATGTAGTAGGGAGTGGGTTTTTATACCTTCTTGGGCTTTTGTTTGGAGTTGTTCCTGTGGCATGAACTTTGACCTGAGTCTGAATGTGCCTTTCTGGTATTCTGATGGTGGTGGGTTAATCCTATTATGTCCCAAAGGTCATATCCTGCTTCCCTAAGCCTGTGGCTGATGACTGTTGGGTTTTTTTTGGTGTCAGGGATTGTTGATTCTAGGGATCTTTCTAATTCCAGCTTCCTGACGCCAATCTTTCTGACAAGATTATCATATCTGCATTTCTGCAGACCTGGTTTCTGTCTGGGGCAGAGAGACTTTGGGGGGGGGGGTTGGTTTCTGCTTTTAAAATCCTTTGGGGAAATATATTCTGCCTTTTTAATATTTCCCAAAATATTTCTTTCTCTGGATTCTTCCCACAATTACAGTCACTATTTCCCATTTCATTGCTTGGCAACATCAGCTGTTTTTACACTACATAATCAACCAGGTCAGTTAAAGACCTAATGGCTGAGTTGCAAAACAAGCTAATCTAGTTTAAACTTCCTTCTAGGTCAGGGATGGTCGGGGTGTTCAGGAATTCTGGGAACTGAAGTCCACAAGACTTAGAGGGTGCATAATATAGCAGTGGTTCTCAACCTTTTCTTCACTATGGTCCCTTTTAAATACCTTTTGTGGCCACAAACCATGGCCACAGATCCCCAAGACTTAACTCAAGATTTAAATAATAGCATTTTTTCAAGCTTTCATGGACCCCCCCCCCCCCCGTGACAATATCGTGCCCTCCTCCCAGCAATCTGAGGACCACAGGTTGAGAACCATTGGCATATAGCAATAACAGTAACACTTAGACTTATATACCGCTTCACTGTGCTTTACAGCTCTCTCTAAGTCAGTGATGGCGAACCTTTTAGAGACCGAGTGCCCAAACTGCAATCCAAAACCCACTTATGTATCGTCAGGTGCTGGGTGTGTGTGTGTGGCCAATTGGGTGGGTGTGGCCCATTGGGTGAATGTGGCTGAGGTGGTAACAACAGACTGGGTGGGATTAAAAAGTTCAATCAATCAATTCCAACTTTGCGAGATCTTTTTTTTCCCCGCGAGAAGTTGAAATTGATTGATTGATTGAACCTTTTTTTTTTTTTTTGCACACAGCGGTGGTGGCCTAAAGTGAAAAGGTTTTACAAAACCCAGCTAACGGCTGAGGACTGGGGCGACAGCGTGGGTGCCCACAGAGAGGGGTCTGCGTGCCACCTCTGGCACGCATGCCATAGGTTCGCCACCACGGCTCTAAGTGGTTTACAAAATCAGCAAAATTTGGGCACTTGACAACTAGAAATATATTTATGACAGTATCGGGGTCATGTGACTATGATTTGTAGCCTTCCTAGCTGGTTTCCAACAAGCCAAGTTAATGGGGGGGACAGCCAGATTCACTTAATGATCACACAATTCAGTGAACAACTGGAGTGATTCGCTTAGCGACGGCAGCAAAAAAGGTCATAAAATGGAACAAACCTCACTGAGCAACTACTTAGCAGCAGAAATTTTGGACTCAACTGTGGTTGCAAGTCAAGGGCGACCTGTATTCATTTCTTTATATAAGCATTCACTCACTCCTTCGCTCATTCATCCATTCTTTTCAGTTTGGAAGAATACAGTGCCACGTTGGATGGTGTCTTACCTCCAGACTTCCAGAATGGGCTGCCCAGTGCAGAGGTGTAAACTTATAGACTGGATCCACCTCATTAATGCTGATACCAAAGGTCACCATTTCGTCCAGTTGTTTGATGTTCCCAGTTTTGACAGCCTCGTGAATGGTTCTGCACTTTGGCTTTTTGGGCCTGTCTGCAGAAGAGCAATGGGACACCGACTCAGAGTAACAGAATAACAGAGTTGGAGGGGACCTTGGAGGTCTTCTAGTCAGACCCTCTGCTCAAGCAGGAGACCCTACATCATTTCAGACATTTCCCTCCATCTACGTGGAGGGAAGAAACCAGTGGGGTACCACAAGGTTCTGCCTTAGGTCCAGTACTCTTCAATATCTTCATAAATGACTTAAATGAGAGAATAGAAGGGAAACTCATTCAAACCTGGAATTAAGGAGAAACTTCCTAACAGTGAGGACAATTAACCAGTGGAACAGCTTGCCTCCAGAAGTTGTAGGTGCTTCATCACTGGAGGCTTTTAAGAGAAGATTGGAAGCCACTTGTCTGAAATGGTATAGGGGCTCCTGCTTCAGCAGGGGGTTGGACTAGAAGACCTCCAAAGTCCCTTCCAGCTCTATTCTGATCCAAGTGGCTTTCCAACCTCTTCTTAAAAACCTCCAGTGATGAAGCACCCACAACTTCTCATGGCAAGCTGTTCCACTGGTTAATTGTCCTCACTGTCAGGAAGTTTCTCCTCAGTTCTAGGTTGCTTCTCTCCTTGATTAGTTTCCACCTGTTGTTTCTTGTCCTGCCTTCAGGTGCTTTGGAGAATAGTTTGACTCCCCCTTTTTTTTTGTGGCAGCCCCTCAAATATTGGAATGGGAGGGGAGCGGAGGGGAGAGGAGAGAAGAGAAGAGAAGAGAAGAGAAGAGAAGAGAAGAGAAGAGAAGAGAAGAGAAGAGAGAGGAGGGGAGGCGAGGGGAGGAGAAGAGAAGAGAAGAGAAGAGCTGGAAGGGACCTTGGAGGTCATCTAGTCCAACCCCCTGCTCTGGCAGGAAACCCTATACCATTTCAGACAAATGGCTGTCCAGTCTCTTCTTAAAAACTTCCAGTGTTGGAGCATTCACCGCTTCTGGAGGCAGGTTGTTCCACTGGTTAATTGTTCTAACTGTCAGGAAGTTTCTCCTCAGTTCTAGGTTGCTTCTCTCCTTGATTAGTTTCCACCTGTTGTTTCTTGTCCTGCCTTCAGGTGCTTTGGAGAATAGTTTGACTCCCCCTTTTTTTTTGTGGCAGCCCCTCAAATATTGGAATAGG